TATAATCAAACAATTAAAAGTTTTAATTAAAAATTCTATAAATCCGAATCTTGCAATTGCAGATGTTATTATAATAATATCTGCAATATTGAAATTTAAACACTTATTATTGCATTATTTAAAATAGAATTTGATCCAAAGCAACTGTATTATATAATCAATTACCTGATAACTCGGGTAATTTGAAAATATCGAGTAGGAATTTTCTTAGAAAGTCCAATGTCTATTTTTAAAATCGTGAAAATTATATAAAGTCAATTATTTTTTTTCTCTCTTATATTAATTTTACCTATATCAATATCAAGTTCTGAACCTTCATAATCATGTCGACATTGGCTTATCTAATTTCTGATTCTTCTGAAGAATCCTCTTACGAAAGCGCCCAATGTTCTCTTCAGAAAACAGAAAAACGTGTTGAACCTAATAACATCAAAGGAAAACAATCGCAAATATTACAGCAACAAGAATACGGCGGGGCGGAGAAATGTGCAATTACCTTGCGGTCAAGCCCAAGTAAAAAAACGAAAATTGAATTAGTTCATAAGTATCTCATGAGCTTAGTAATGAACTCGAAATTTCCAAGTTCTGCAAGAGATATAAAGATGAATTGGAGGAGGAAACGTCAGTTTCAACTAAAATACACCATATTAATATAAAGTATCCGCACTCTTATACAGACTCTTCACAAACCAATAAATCTCCCTTTTATTCAACTATTGAACAACACCGTATTGAATCTTTGAATCACTATTTAATGCGATGGATTGTTATTAACAAACAACCATTTTCAATAGTTGAAGAGGCGTCTTTTGTAAGATTTGTCTCAAATCTTAATCTGGGTTATAGAATTCCTTGCTACCAAACCTTTTCTACGAATGTGAAAAAGTATTTTGACTTGGCAAAAGTAAAAATTAAAGAAATATTGAGGGGTAATAAAAGTAAATTAGCACTTGCTATAAATGTTTGGACGGCATATATGAAACAACCTTTTCTTGTAATTACTGTTAATTGGATTGATATTATGTGAACAAAAAGAACTCTTCTTCTTGACTTTATTTCTTTGCCCGAAGCCTATACAGAA